ACACGAGAATATGAGCAAACAACATCAAGAGTATCACAATCAACTATATCATCAATCCGGTGGGGCTAAGTTGGTCTTTGGAGTAGTTGCTTTTACCTCGAAAATTGCTACGCTGACTAGAAATGTGGAAAGATATACCGACCACTTCTTGAAGCTGTGCACCTGGCTTTTATCCAATTTTGAAGAATCGAACAATCTCCTCATGATGCTTGGAAGCCTTAGTGAGTAGGTCCACACAAAAAGACTTCCACAAATATGTGAAAACTGGAAGAATGACATGGGAAACCTTGTTAGTGTTTCGAAGGTTGTTTTGAAGTTTGTGCCCATTCTGAGAGGAGTGACTGATGAGGCTGCTAGGCTAGCCAACAAGGCGAAAGTGACAATCATACCAACGTGCGTTGTAGTAGTGCGTGTTGCAACAGTCTGCCTTGGCGTAGCTCGCACTACAGCTGCTCTTGTTGCTATCACTGACGACTCTTAAGCTCACAACTCTGAGGTTGTTCTTGACCTCAGGATTTAAAAATATGTAACATAAAATAGTAAATCTTGGTTGAGCCTGGCCTTATAGGCTAATTAGTTAAGTGGCAGTTGTGAAGTTTATAGGCTGATTGGTTGAGGGGCATCTATATAGCAAAAGTTGATTGCTTGAAGAGCATCTGTCAAAAGCCCTTTCCCTCTTTTCCAAACTTGCATTTATTCAAAAACTCTCTCATGTGATTCAATGGATGGGCCACGCTAGTCCAAGAGTAGCAGGTGGAACTCACTCAAGTTCGACTCTGATATTGAATTAAAAATAGATACTAACTTTTAACAAATGTTCCCTTTGTAAAAAAATAAAAAACTTACACTTGTTCAAAATAATAAAAACTATGTTAAATCTCGGTTATTTAATAGAAAGAGCAGTGCTAGGGGCGATCGCCACCTGCACTTGCCAATTAACAATTGCTAATCCATTGGCCACGTCACCGTCCTTTTAGTGTTGATGGAAGAGTAACCAGTTGGATTCTACCAAAAAAAAGAAGTAACCGGTTGGACTTGGCAACCGCAGACCTCTTCTCGTTTTTTTTTTTTTTTTAACATCAAGTGAAATTAATTTTTTTAAAAAGGTAAAAACCCAAGGCTACCTTCGTCTTCCTCCGTCATAGTTCCCCATCCCCTTTAACCAGCCGTGACCATGGGCACCTAATATGGGAGCTTCAATATTACAAAATTTTAAAGAAATCCAAAATTTAAATTATTTAAAGTAATAATTTTTTTTTTTTAACTTGTAGGGTACATATGAGGGTTATTTTTTATTATTAATTTACATAAAAATAAAAAAATTAACATTAATTTTAATATCATTGCTAAACACATAAATTTAATTAAATAATTAATAAATTAAAAATTAATATTTATAATTTTAATAAAATTTATAATAAAAATAAATTTAATAATTATTACACACTTAACCTCAACCTTACAAATAATCAAAATTCTTTTTAGAAAATTTATTTTGTTAAAAACCGGCTATCAACGGTTTCGATCAACCTTTTAAAGCAACGTGACGTGGCCAAATAGATGGGCACGTGTGGTGGGCGAGTGCAAGAGGCGATTGTTTCTAGCAGTGCTCTAATAGAAAAAAGATATAAACCGTTCTTAAACTTTCAAATTTACTTCAAAATAATATTAAGTATTTAAACTAAAAATAAAATAGATAAATTTTTTAATTTTATTAATAATATAAATAAATTCTTCTCATTCATAGTGTTCATACTTTCAAAATAATATTAAACATGAAATATTATTTGTGAAAAAAAAAAATTTATATCATTAATAAAATTTGAAGATTTATTTATTTTATTTTTAATTTAAAAATTTAAATATTATTTTAAAATAAATCTAAGAGTTTAAAAAGAGCTTTCGCCTATAAAAAATGGAGTGGGGTGTTTTGCTAGAGCACTAGCGTTTACCGGCGCTTTTCGCCACGCATCTTCTCTTTTTGCCACGTCATCTCTCTTTTTAAGGGATATACCGGAAACCGTTTTATCAAGTCGTAACATAAAAGAACGGCAAGACTGCTGTACCATCGTAATTCCAACCTATGGATTGCAGATGGACTCTACTCTTCCTTGATTTCCTCTTCAATAGACATCTGAACAAATGTTGAAATCCACCTTTTTTTTCTTTTCGATCCAAGAGAAATTTTGAGAAAAAGAAAAAATATTATAATTGCCTAACAAAGACTTGACTTTAACATGAATTAAAGTGTTTGATATATATTACAGTTTATTAAAAGCTGTTAGTCCAATGTTGAAATCAATTTAAAAAGGCATTCTTCCAAAAGTCCAAAACACAATTGAATGCAACCAATTCCTTTTCCCTTCTCAATCGAAGGTTCTTTTATCTTTCTTTCCCGAACACATCTCAAAGTATGTTGAAGAGTTATAAAGAAAGCAAGGATTTCCACAGAGTATGCAAGATAGAAAGGAAATTCCTAAACGATGCTGCAACCTTCGATTTTGAAAATGGCTAAGATGCTTCATTTCACCACGAAATCAGAACGCTAGACAAAAATAGAACATTGGTTGGGATGTATTTAACGGGGTTTCAAGAATTTTTTGTAGTTGTTTTTTCGCACTTTTTCCTGTACTGCCGCCATCCTTCCTAGCTCTATCCCCTTGGTTTTTTTATTTTTTTTATTTTTAGTCCAGAGTTAAATCACATCAAACTCTTGAAGAAAAGTTCTTTCAATATCTAATAATCTATATACAAGACTTGAAATCAAAACTTTACTTAAGAGAAATGAATTTCGTTTTACTCAATCCAACAAGTACCGGTCCATTCCCTGTTTTGCTTTGCAGATTTGTCCATACCTCACAAGTTAGGTTCTTCATTTAAATCATTCCCCAATTAGGAGAGATACTCGATTGGGTTTGTCCCTAATTTCAAAATAATGAGGCAAAGCAACTCTATTTGATCTTATGGAGAGAAGAGGTAGAGCAAATATACCCTTTTCCAAACCCCAGCTACCCCTGTTCTACAAGAAGGATTGATAAAAATGAGTTAAAAGGAGAAAGTCAACGGAGTCTCGAGTCTTTACAGTTAGATAGAAAGATAAGTTTGAAAAGGATTGGAAATTACACCCAGAAACACCTCTAATCACCGGCTATGGAAGAAGAAATCGTGGAGATTTTCCTTCAGCCTTTTTTGTTTTTTTGGGTAAATGATACCTTCCTTTCTTCGAAACTTTGGCTTTTAACCGTGTAAACTTGTTAAGGGCCAAAAGAAACTTTATAACTTACTATTGTAATTGACCGGTCATCTCCTCGAAAGAAACAGTAACATGGCAAAAGGAGTGGAGGAGTGCTGAAGAGCCACTGTGGAGTGCTCCTAGCACTCTTCGTCAAAATTTTCTACCATCTATGCAAATTGTAAATTATATCTACTGCATCATCCAGCCCTTGGATCCAATCAACGGATATGATTGCACCAGATCATCATCGATCCAAGCTGGATCACTCTGAAATTAAATTGGGTTAAAAAAAAAATTTACTAATAACACACTGTCAGGTGTTAAGTAAACATGAAATTACAAGGAAAAAATGATGCTACCAAAAACATCTTAAAATGTTGACGAGGAAATGGAACAAACAATTCTCCTGATGCAGCAACTCGCTGCGAACCAGCCTTTCCAAGTTAAGATTCCGTGGCAGAAGATTGCTGTAGTAAAGCAACGTTGTAACGGAAATCGTTGGCTGTGCCAGCAGGGGTGTCACTAGCCTCATCAGTGACCTTAGCATCATTGGTATGAGAGACTGCACAAAGAATCAACACATTACAGCGATTCAGAAACCCAAAAGACGATCAAAATTACATACTGACTTACTAGAAAACCAAACTCAGATCTCCGATGCAAGCGAAACATATTGCTTACCATGGTTAAAACTGATGAAGAAGATGAACAGTTTGACCTTGAGAAATCATTTCCAGAGAATGGAGTGAATGAGCGAGGGAGGAGTTTGTTTAATGCTAAATATATGCTAAGTTAGAGAGTTTTTCATGCCAAATTTTTTCTTAAACTGTCAATATAGGCAGTGCTTAGCAGCCAGCTAGAGCCAATCCCTTGATATTCCAAACATATAGGCATGGAAATGGCTTCTATGGAGATTTAAGCAAGAAGTTTGCTTGTTTTCTAGTTGTTGAGATGATTGAACTATTCCGTTGTGCCCAAGTCAACTTGAATTAAATAAGGGACTAAGGACATAGTTTTATTAATTTTTTGGTATATTGATGAGTTGGATTATGGTAACTATCTCCTAAACTCCATTTTGTAGGCATGTCAATTATAATTTATACAACATTATATTTTTTATGGTAGTTAGGTGACATCATAGTTTTCCTCTACCATGCTAAAGCTAAATTTACTTAGAAGTAAACCATTCATATTATGACCAAAAAAATTTATGAGAAATTGCATTTATTGGCTTCTCCAAAAAAGATAAAAAAGCCTTATAACTAAGTTAGCACCCTATTATAATTAGCCAATTAGGATTTATAACAATTAATGAACTAAGATAATATATATTTTTTCCCAAACCCCTCTTTATATCTCTAAAGTTTGAATTTATGATTATATATATACTCTCTCTGTTCCACAATATTAGTCATTTTGGAGAGGAAAAATTGGTCCTAAATAATTAACTTTTTAACATATCAAGATTGCATTAATTTCTTTTTTTAAAATTTACCCTAATTGGCGTTTTTTTTT